CCTGAGGCTGGGTAGCCCAGTCAGCATCTTTGTGAGGGCATCACAAACTTATGCATTTGCATAAGGTAATGACAAAGCTCTAGTGCAGCATCCATTTAATATTTAAAATGGATTCAACATTGGAAAATCCCCTTTCCCCGAGGCTATTTGCTTGATCCTACCTGTCCTGCTTATTTGCTTTCCCACAGGCTTTTGAACAAGTGAAACAAATGTACACTGAGCTGAAGAGAAGGATGGAGCAGAGCCCAGCACTGGGAGAGCAGGGCAGCAGGGTGCAAAGCATAGACCTGGAGGCACAGGCTCTGTTTGAGGAAACTATGGCCATGATGCTCAGGATGGAAAGTAAGACTCTTTGTGAACTCAGTATAATGATCTCATGCACTGGGCAAGGGCTTTTGACTCCCAGAGGGGTGAGGGAAAGAAATTAATGGGGAAAACAATATGATTTTGGCAGTGAGATGGTGTGGATTGGGCTGTATCTGCTGGTGCTTTGCCGGTAAATTTTGACTTCACAAGTGTGTGTGTGCCACCATGGATGGGAAACCCCACCTGCAGTGCCAGTGTGTCTCCTCACTTCCATCTTTAAGCATTCAAAACCAATGAATGTTTGGAGCAGTCATGTTGGCTTGGGGACAAAGGGGAAGGCAGGATGTTCATTCTTCTCATCCCACCAGAGCTGTGCAGCAGGGAGGTAGAGGCTCAGCCCAACCTGATGTGGAGGGCAATGGCTGTGCTGCCTTCCTCTTGCCCTCTCCATCACCACCTTCCTGCCCTCTCTCCTCAGCTTTAGAGATGGAAATTCAGGAAAGCAACAAGGCTTTGATGTCCAAGTCGTTCAGGCTGTCAGGCCTGGAGGAGCAGGTCGGAAGGATCCGGGATGCCATCAACAAGCGAGTTGCCTACTATGAGAGCTGCTCCTGAGTGAGCTGCCCGCGCTGCCTCCCTCCTCTGCAGCCACTGACTGGTGTATTTATTCCCATTTTCCGGCTGGAGTTCTCATGTTCTCCCAGCATCTCTACTTGTAGCAAACTGAGTTTCTTTCCCTCTGGAAAACAGCTGCACTGAACCAAAGGAGCAACCCCATGGATAGGGTTAACCTTGGCTGGACTGGCTGGAGCTGCCTGGTGGTTGGAGGAAAAGGGGGAAAGACATCAATCTTCTGTGGCAAATAAAACATCCCCAAGGTTGTTATTTCCAGAGGGGTTTGTAAACCAAGAAATTCTTGTTTCTCTTTCTTGTCTTAGCCAGTTCGAACTCTTTCAGCTGAATTCAGTTGTTCAAATTAAAACCTTCACGTGGGGTCTTTAGAAACTTTTCATCTATGCTGCAGTTAATCTTTAAAACTTCCTGTGGCTTCACTACTTACCTCCTAGATCTTTCTTCAAATAATCACATCACAGAAATGGAGAATTTTTATCTCCAGCATAATTACAACATACTTATATTTATACAAATAAGAGAAAGGCTATCTCCTACTCCTAGCTGAAGGCAAATGTCTTGTTTGACTTTCTGCCACAATCTGCTTAGCTACCACATTAACGCTGTGCCAGAAAAATACCAGAGGGAGCAGGTCTGCAGATGCACAGGGAATGCTTTAGAAGGGACTTAATAGACCGTTTCCACATCAAATTTCTATGAATAACCAAGAGACACTTTACAAAACAAAACTCAGCTTTATTAAGCAAGTATTTATTGTGCAATTACAGACTTGGAAGCAGGGAACTTAAACCTTTCTGTGATTATTATTAGACATATGGAGGTTGCTAGCACGTTGTAGCTCTCCTTTTGTAGCTGAAGTGAGAACTGTGCAGCCTGGGCAGCTGGTGGATGCTGAACTTCTGAGTGCCAAAGCCTGGGGCTATCCAAAACCCCAGATGTAGATAGGGTGAAGATTGTAAAAATGACCTGCCACTGAGTAAAACTACGCATGGCTTCAGTTTATAGGATTTACATTGTGCAGTGCACTTATTATGCATTGGACAACTAAACAGTATACCAAAACCAAAAGCTTACAGCATTGAGCGATGTGATATGGACAATATACACTGAATATGCTAGCAGTAGCTGCAGACTTTCCCTTGCCTTCTCCCAGCTTTAATGATCCATGAACACCCCGAGGTCACTGCACTGATGGATTCCTGGGACTAATGTGCTGCTCGTCACCAGTTGGTCGCTGCTCTCTGAGATGCTGCTTCCTGGTGGGACACAGCCTCCTTTCTTGCTTGCACTGTTGATGTCTGGCTTTGAAGTGCAGAAAAGAGTAAAACAGCCCTTCTGTTTCTGCAAGAGAGAGAATTTCAATTGAGGACTGAACTTTGTTTCACTAGACTGCTACCTTCAAAATGTGCTCTGTTAATAAGCAGTAGCATGGGGGTCAGGAACAGCTTAGATCGCTTTGTGTGCCTTAGTTATAAAGGGGAATTAAGTGACTGATCTTCGGAATGGACCTTTCTGGAGCCTGTAGTAGATCTTACTCGCATTTGTCTCTTCTATTAATCCTTTGTATATTACAGTCTTGTTCATACAATCTCATCAGCAGAGAGTGTCATAAAAGATGACAGGAGGTAGCGCACTTCATGCAGCTTTGCAGAGAACTATGCTAGCATATGCTCCCATTTGAGGAACATTCTTTATTGCAGGATCTCACAGCAATATTTCTTACTGCTCGTATACAATGTAATACAAATCATAACAATTTAGCTAGTCCAGAACTAAGCCAAGCTGTGGCCAAACAGGACGAAATTTCCATGGTTGTACTGTGCTCAGCTACTAAAAACATCTCCATGCTCTGCTCTCTGGTAACAAAGCAACTTAAACTGACCTGCCTGGACCAAATGGGAAAGGGAATGACCCTTCAGGTTGCAGGGATGTCCTGCCTATGCCCAGCCATGGACCAGCAGCCTGTTGTCAGCCCTTTGCTCATGGTCACAACTGAGACCCAGCTGAAAAGCCTTTATCTGAGCTGATGAAGCTGTTTGCTTCCAGTGTGATTCCCACTGAGTAGCTTTGAATAATTGCAGCGTTTGATATGACAGGTCTATGCCTGGCATCCTTCCACATGTTCCTTGCACAACCCTGTTGTGATACAAAAGTTGGATTCAGAATCACTGGACTGGCCTTAATGGAAGCTGAAAGATGATTTCTTCCTTGAAAGATGGTTTAGTTAAGGCTTTTCTGTTGCAAAAAACCTGTGAGTCAATGTATTTAATGGACAATCACTCTGCTATTTGTGCCTTTCCCTTTTCCATGCCATAATGGGGTTAATGAAAGCAGTGGAGATTGGATGGCCGTGCACTTACCGCTGGTGATGTGGTGAGCCCGGTGCCTGCCTCCTCATCACATGATCAAACAAACTCCAGTTTGCCCAGTGCCACAGTGAGAAGAGTGTTTACTGGTTTTCATCGGAACGAGAACTTCTGATTTGAAATGACTGGTTGGGAATGGAAGGGTTGGAAAAGAAGAAAAAAGAGAAACAGCAATGTTTAGGATCGTTCTGCAGGTGAATGGAAATGGTGGTTTTAATGTGTTTAATATAAAGGACATCAGCTGCTGGAAGCAAAGCCTATCACTCAGCACCAGATGAGTAATTGGCATCAGCAGCTTTAACCACAGGCAATCTTGGTTTCTGGAAAGCAAATGTGCTCCAGTCAATGGAGTGTGGCAGCAGAGCCCTGGTGCCTCAGCTCACTGCAGGCTCTGCCATGCAGCCCAGGCACTGCCTCACCTGATGTTCCTGCAAGCACATAAACACTTGGCTGGGTACTGCTATGCAGCCATCAAAGCATGTGCTTCTTTCCCTGTTCCTCCCTTCTTTCTATCTCCACCTGGGCTGGCAACTTAAATGCCAGGCAATTCCTTCCAGAGGTGGTTATTCCATGTATTTTGTTGGATGTTATGGCCAATGGCTAGGATACCTACTGGGATTTTGCAGACTTTTTAAGCAGCACTGTCTCGGAGCAGAAAGATGTCTTTGTTTTCTCGTGCCCCATGCAGGCTGGACCGCAGCCACAAGAAGTTCTGCTTGGTGGGCTGTGGTTATCCGGCAGGACCAGGCTGCTGCTGGTGGGCTGGATGGTGGGTCCGTTTTCCGAGTGCCTTTGCAGCTTTTCCTCTCTCATTCTTGTGTCTTGCTCCAGCTGAGCGGGAGGGTTTGCACAGCCCTGCGAGGGGACCGGAGGCACTGACGTGTCCTTCTCTTCGTTTGGGGTCGCTGGCCGGGTGGCTGCCATGGGTGTGCTGGGTCTGGATGGCTCTGAGGCTTGTGTATTGGGGAGGGGGCTTTCAGCCGCCGCATGAACGTTCATGTGGAGCTTCCTCATGTGGTGCACAACAGCTGCGGCGTTGAAGGCTTGCTGGGGGAGAGGACAAAAACCCCACGGTGAGCAGCTGGTGAGGGGGGCAGCCATGGGAGGTGAGGGCAGCAGCTGTATTGGTGTGGGCCACTATGAGGGGGCAGACAAGGGGCGGCTGTGATGGGAGATCATGAGGAGAGATCAGTTTGCCCTTAGTGACGTGGTTTAGTGGTGGGCTTGACAGATGGGTAATGGTTTGGCTTGATGATCTTAAAGGTCTTTTCCAACCTAGTTGATTCTGTGATTCTGTGCCAGTCTGGGTGGGTGCCGCAGGACAAAGGGAATGTCCCCCTGAGGAGATGACTGTTTGCACAGTGCGTGGAAAGTGGGAAGTGCTCGTTCCTGGCATGAACACCATGGTTTCCACTGAATGCAAACTGCTGATGTTTTTGGAGTTGACAACCACTTCTACATGAGGAAATAATGTAGGAAAACATAGATTTCATGTAGAAATCATGTAGGAAATTGGCAGTGTTCAAGGCCAGGTTGGACGAGGCTTGGGGCAACTTGCTCTAGTGGAAGGTTGGAATTGGATGATCTTAAGGTCCTTTCCAACCCAAACCATTCTGTGATTCTATGAAATCAGGGGTAAATTAACCACATTGTGAAACAGAGGCTGGCACTGAATTCTGAATATACTTAAAATGGTGTCACACACGTGGTTCCTTTGGCATTCCTTTCTCTACCTAAATTCTTACTAAAACTCTTGATATAAATGAAGCACCAATTTATCTTCAAGGCTGAAAGGAGGAAAAGCCAAATTAAGCTCCCCAAAAGATCTGCTGATGGAGCACCAATTTCACTCCCTCACTATAAAGGCAAATAACCCATTCCCCTTCCCTGTGAAGCCACTGTAGTGCAATGTTTGTGGTGAACCTACGAGTGCACATTGCAGGAGGGAGTATCAGTCCCAACATACTATAAACAGTAACTGCATCCAGTTTTCAGGAAGCCTTTGCAGGATCTCAGCTTTTGGGTGCTTCCCCACACAGCTGAAGCCTGGCTTGTTGCTAGATGGCAGCAACTGGCATTTGTTAGTGAAATGGCTCTAGGCTTCCACCAGTGAATGACTTACCCTCCATTTGCTCTTTGCAAAGTTTTTCTGGATCTGAGCACTGACAGATGGGTATATGTCACGGTGAAGGGCTGTATTTCCATTAATCCTGCAGATGGGGAGAGAAGAAAATGGGCTCGTAGGCAGATGGCATTTGTAAGGCATTCCACATTCTGGAGGCAACTAACTGCTTTGTATGTTCAATCAGCAATAATTAAACCCCAAGGAAAAACAGCAACAAAATGTAACACAAACACACACTTCAAAGCTTGGAAAAGCTCAGGGTGGGATTTCTTCGTTGCCTCTGTTTATGGAGGCAAATATGCACAAATTGCATCTTTAATTATTCATCACTCTCTTTCTGCGCACACAAGAAAGAAACACCCAGGGCCATGCGGAGGCAGGCAGTGACGTTAATAACGGGGGCTGAGGAGGCACCCCTGTTCCCAGCCATCACTGAGCATGTGGAGCCAGACACAGAGGCTGGTAAATCCCCGTGGCCACCAGCTACTGCTGGGGCCCTGGTGCTCTCACCATGGGTGCCGCAGGGCTTCCTCACACGTAAACCTTGTGCTTGGGTTCTTCTCCAGTAAATGTCTGATGAAATCCTTGGCTGGGTGGGAAGGGAGGAGAAAGAAGCACAGAGAAAAAGGTTATTTTCTCCTTATTCCAAGATACCAGCCTAACAAACGCTAGTGGGTAAATATCACAAAGGTCAGCCCTAAGAAGGTGGTGTACTGCTTCATCATGCCATTAAAAGGAGACATTTGTAGTGAAAGGCTCCAGATGAAAAAATGTTAACTGGGGATGTACCAAACTTCACACTTAACTACATTAATTTTAGTGGAATTATTCACCTAAAAAATAACTCAAAAAAAAACATAAGAAAGTGCAGACTGAGCAGATTTAGAAGTTGGTTTAAAGAGCACTTACATCCCTCCCTTATTTTTATTCCATTATTTTGCAGGGAGGATTGTGGTTGTTGTTATTAACATTATTAACAAACCTCCTGCTACTTTTTTTTTGTATATATATAAAATATTGATGTTCAAAACATGCTGCTAAGGTGCTGGTTTCAGTAAACTCTGTGCAGGTGAGCTCCATGAGCAGGTTGGTCTGGTGGAAGGGGCAGTGGTGGCTGACACAGCTCGTCGTGTTGCTGTAAGGAAGTGTGACTTGACGGGAAGAAAAGGAAAGGGGAAAAGAAGAGAAACCCCAAACAAACAGAAAAACAAGGTGAAAGACCTGGAGTTCCCCTACTGCCAAGGGAAACCTAAGCCCACTCTGAGCTCACTAGTCATTTGTGAAAATCAGGGCTACATTAACAGAGGTTCAGCCAAGGCTCCTCTGTTGCAGGCAGGATGCAAAGCACCCCAAACTCTGCCACTGCAGCCTGGCTTTGCTGTCATCACTCCCCTACAGTGGTGGGGGGAGCCTCTGCAATCATTTCCCACATCTGGGGGTTTGCTGCTGTGTGAGTGAATCAGTTCAAGACTTCATCCTTTCCTATCCCTGCCGGGGAAGTTGAAGGTCACAGGGCTCTGGATTGCAGCTTTACCTGATGCAGAGATATCATCCCAAAATGGAGACTCAAACTCATAGTAGCCTTCCTTAATCTTTTCAAACAGTTTGGATTCAGTCTCTTCATAGAAAGGAGGATACCCACACAGCCTGGAACAGAGCAGAAAGCCAGTGGTCCTTCAGTGCTGCCGTCCACACAGCCCGGCAGACAACACAAGTGAGTAAAAGAGGCGGCTGCTTTATCCCTCCATGTGTCCCTTACATCTAAGTGTATTGGTAAAGCTAAAGAAAAGAGTTAAAATCTTAACTGCATCAGCAAAAGGACAAAGCCACAGCTGGTACATAGCTGCATGGTGTGGGAGGAAATGAAACAAAAAGTACCGGGGAAGATTGAATGAGATTTGTGGGCAACTGAAAAAAAGAAACAACAAAGCATATGAGGCACATAATAGAGAAAGAAAATGTGATTCCTTTCATCTTCACTCCAGTACTTGATTCCCCACATCCCTTTCATTTCTATGGTCTAGTGAATCTGTGCAAAGGAAGAATACAGTGCTGCTGAATTCCTGCAGCAAAATGGGAGGTCCAGTATTGCCTCCGCTGGCGCTGCTGCTCTGCAGAGGTGTATGGAGCGATGGAGGAGTTGGGAAACTTGGGGGGAAATAAGTGGGATGCTGTTTGCTCTTACTCACAGGATATAGGTGATAACTCCAATGGACCAGCAGTCTACGGCTTTGCTGTATGGTTTCTGGGCAAGGACTTCAGGGGCTGCAAAACCAAATGACGATTCTAAGCAATAATAAATTATCCAATACAGGGAAAATCAGTAGTTTCTTGTACACTTGATCTCTGAGGTGCCAGAGAACAGGCCAGTAACAGCCCCATTTCCCAGCTGGATTATTTTGTGCCATTGAATAGAAAGAACCACAGACAATTTCTGCCTGCATCCGGAGGTTTTAACCAGTAACCAGCCAGTGCATCTAGTGGACGTTACGCAAAATCCCATCATGTTAAAAAGATTTTTGTATTTTTCCACTAAATACATGATTAATGCTGAAATATATTGCTCTGAAAATTATCCTTTTCTTTGCACCTTTGAACAATTTGAGCTTTTTCAGTCTCTACACTCATTTGTAACCCAGTCTTTATGTGGTCCACGCAGCACATCTGTGAATAACACGTTGTTGTGAATAATCATGTATTTTTTTCCCTTTCTGCTAGGCAATGCACTGCACATGCACAGCCCTTTTCTCCAGACAGTCCACCAGCACAAGCCCATTCCTGATCCCTGGCTTACCAACGTATCCTGGAGTCCCACAGGCAGTGGACATGATGCCGTTCTGTTCCATTTTAGACAAGCCAAAGTCCGTGATCATGATTTTGGAGTTCTCTTCAGGAGTGAGGTAAAGAAGGTTTTCAGGCTGTGAACACAGAGTGGTTAGAGGTTGAAATGTGTGGTAGAAAATGGGAAAGTCAGGGGCAGAGGTGGTGAAGCCTCCAGTCACATCAGCTCCCCAGGGTGCTGCTGTTGCTGAGGGACAGGTCTCACCTTCAAGTCCCGGTGAACTATCCCGTTTTCATGGAGGTACTTCACCGCTGTCAGGACCTGGTGGATCACCACACTTGCATCTTTCTCGGTGTAAACTCCTCGTTCCAAAATCCGGTCAAAGAGCTCTCCCCCAGATACCCTGTGGAAGTGGTAGTTCAGAAAGAAGACGACTGAAAAAATAGTGGAACAAAGCTCATCATGCTTTGTGTTGGGCAAGCTAACTTCTGGTCCTTTTACAACTCTACTTACAGCAGAACCATTCCTTGAGCAACAGGTTTTGTGAGGCTGATGGGTGCTCTTGAGTGCAATTTCAGGGTGCCAGTAAGCATTACTGGGAAGCCCAGGAAATTTGGGTAAGGTTACAAGGCAAATCCCAGCAGGTCTGAGCTGCAGGCATCCAGCAGAGTCTCCAGGCTCTGCTACACAAGCAGGTATGTGGGGTTTTTGTGTGATTGCTTCCTTTAGCTAGATTTGCAAGTTAGCAGTAGCAGCCGGGTGCTTGGAGCTGATGCCCACAGCGAGCTGCTTTCTCTGCAGCTGACAGGTTGCCCATTTTCATTTCTAGAAACCCTGCGTGGCACAGCTTTAATTAGAAATGCTTCTGTCTCTGCCCTGCTAAACTGTGATGAATTAATTTGCATAAATAGATCCTAATCTTGGTTTAGAAACTTGCTGCTAAAACGAGCATGGACTGAGGTCCTGGTTAGTTCAACCCATGCAGCTCTCGCCTCCTTAGGGGTGTTTGGGCATGCAGCTTTTACACAGGAGGGATTCCAGTCTGTAGGTGCTGAAATAGGGTACATCATCCTGGTCCTGCCACTCTTCCTCTGTGGCCCTCAAAGAAATGGCTCTGCTGATACTTACAGCTGCATGACCAGGTAGAAGTGGGTTGTACTCTCATAAATATCTTCTAAAGTCACGATGTTTTCATGCTTTATTCTGCAAAGATAAATCACAGAATCACAGAACAGTTTGTGTTGGAAAGGACCTTAAAGCTCCTCCAGTTCCAACCCCTGCCACGGGCAGGGATACCTTCCACTAGAGCAGGTTGCTCCAAGCCCCTGTGTCCAACCTGGCCTTGAACACTGCCAGGGATGGGGCAGCCACCGCTGCCCCTGTGTCCAACCTGGCCTTGAACACTGCGGGGGAGGGGGCAGCCACAGCTTCTCTGGGCATCCTGTGCCAGCGCCTCAGCACCCTCCCAGGAAAAGCTTGTGCCTCAGAGCTCATCTCGATCTCCCCTCTGGCAGGTTCAAGCCATTCCCCTTGTCCTGTCCTTACAGGCCCTTGTCCAAAGCCCCTCTCCAGGTTTCCTGGAGCCCCTTTAGGCACTGGAGCTGCTCTAAGGTCCCCTTAAGGAGCCTTCTCCAGGCTGACCCAGCCCAGCTCTCTCAGCCTGTCTATGTAGGAGAGGTGGTCCAGCCCTTGGGTCATCTTCCTGGCAAGGACAAAAGTGGTTTTTCAAGTGGAAATCCTCTTGCTTTAATCACCAGTGAAAGTTCACTGGGCTGTTTTGTGGCCGATCTCCCTCTCCTTACGTGGCAGGGGATTGTTGATGGTATTGCAAACTCCTTTCAGAGCACATATGGCTCTGTTGGGGTTACAAACCCAGCCAAGGAATGAGAGCAGAAACTTGACTAATCTACTAATTCACAGTAACGTTTATACATCCTTTAAAAAGAAATATTTATTAGTACTGTAGAGCCACACACCTTAGGAGAGGACATTTGTCCTACTTTACATTACAATGTATATATACTCACTTTTTCAGCACTGCTATTTCATTCTCCAAGCTGCTGTCCCTTGTGAGAGGAGACTTCTTGATGCATTTCAGAGCAAAGAGCTTGCCAGTGCTTCTTTTCTTCACTAGGAAAACTTCCGAAAAGGCACCTCTGCAGGGAGGAAAAGAAGTTGTATTTCCCAGTGAACTGGGAGGATACTCACAGAGCAAAAGAGGAAATAGGAATTAAAAACAATATGGAAGTAATTTAACTCTAAGCGGATGCTGATTGTGTAGACTTAGAACTACAATCAAGGCCAGGTCGGACGGGGCTTGGAGCAACCTGCTCTAGTGGAAGGTGTCCCTGCCCGTGGCAGGGGTTGTAACTGGAGGAGCTTTAAGGTCCCTTCCAACACAAACCAGTCTGGGATTCTACTATCTCCAGCAGCCTCAAACGTAGGAGATTCAATGCAGGATTACGCAATATTTAGACACCACCCCCCAGTTTTCTCTGTTCATGGAGAAAAGGTTAATTTTACATCGTTCATCACAAAGCTGTGTTGAGGTAGTGGACAAAAAGGACCCCTGCAATGAAATGAAGTCACATTCCTCAGGTCCATCTGTGAAGACAGTCAAGTGCATGTGCCAGGTTGTGGGTTTGGAGCACACCTCTGGGGAAGCAGATGGCAAACAGGGTTTGAGCCCACACCTTGGGTGGGTGCAGGAGGCACCGTCCATGGCCTCTTAGTTTACTGCCTTTGAGGGAACTGTTGTACTTCAGCCTGTTGGGGGAATTTTCCCAGGTCAGGTGAGGGGCTGTATCAGTCACCACATCACTAACGGTGTGTCTACAACTTGGAAGCTTGTTGGGGTAAACAGCCCCCCATGGAAGGATCCCAACAGCCTCCACTCTAACTGAAATTCCTGCTTAATACAAACCATATTTGCTCCAAGCCCCCATGGTCTTAAACAGTCCTTCCCTTTCCCTGGTCAGTATTGTCCCACGGGCTGAGGTACCTGAATTGCATGAGAGTACCCAGTTATGTTGTAATTTGGGTGCATCAACCAATGTTCTGTATATCTAAAGTGCAAAATAATCAGATAATATCAGTTAATATTTTCATTCAGCATCTTATGTGTTTTCCTTTCTGCTAATACGTCTACCCTTAGTGACAATGTGACAATGAGTGTCTTGTATGTTCCTGATAAAGGTTCTGCCCAGTGCAGCAATGAGTGGGTATTTATAACATGCCCAAAGCTCATAATCCTGTTACAGGTTTGTCTTAGGCAGCTGAACACGTGTCAGGACAGTGACAGTGCATACTTTGCCAGGTCAGTCCTCAGTAATCCTCATCAAATGAGCAACAGATTAATTGATGGCAGTTAAATGGAACTTGCCACTGAGTCTGCAAAGCCAGGCAGGGAGCTGGAGGGCAGAGTGAGGAAGGTGAGTGCAGTGGAAGCACCTTCTTGGTTGCTGGGGTGCTATTGCAGCAAACCCAGTAAACAAGGGCAGAAAACCTGTATCTCCTGTAATCCACTAAGCAAAGAATCCCGTGTGCTGTGCAGATAGACTGAAAGTTGGAGCTGTTCCCAGCTAGCACACAGTGCTTTGCTCATGTGTCCTTGTTAGTGAGCAGCAGGTGGTGATGCTGTGATGGGGAGCAGGAGCCTAAAGCGGCTCCTCACTTGGCTCTGCTTTCCTCCTCCTCCAGTGGGGCCCTGGGTGCTGCTGAAACAATGTGCAACACCATTGGGGTTGTGAGGAAATGGCTGTGGCAGGACTGGGTCCTAGCAAGAAAAACACCAACACAACCCCCAAAACCAAACCAATGCCCAAAAACTCATAGATTTTTTGATGAATTCAAATCTTTGCATCTCTCAGTAAATGATATGTAATAGTCTTCTCTCTTCTGACCCAAAAAGCAGGTGGTGTTGAGCCCTTTTCCCTGCTTCACACATTTTTCTCCTTTTATCCATATAAACTCTGAAGGCTGTTGTATGGAAATGCCTTTCAAGTTCCGAGGTCTCTCAGGGAATAGGCAGGAACATTCTCACTAAAGTCCCTAATTCAGCAGTGGTGGATGCTGGGGGAAGGTGATAGCAGGTTTCCAGGTAGCTTTAGGTCCCAAATCCTCATTTATATTCTTCAGCCAGCTTAAGTGTTGCATGTGGAAAAAATCCCAATTTCTAATGCTAAATTTTCCTGTTAATGTAATAGTAGGAAATGAACAACCTACAAATCAGATGCTGGGGCATCTGTTCTATATATCTGTCCCAAACAGTTTATAATAATTATGCCCCTTATTAAAAAATGATGAATCAACAAGTTGGCTGAGAGAGAACAAGGCTTTTTTCTAACCTCATTCCTTTGGGGAAAGCTGCTGGATAATTTAACTCATTTCCGAGGCTGACCAGGGACATAATGATTGAAAATGTTGCCGAGCTCTGGAGTAGCTGTTTTTTTGGGAGCTTTGCTGTGGGTTCTCAAGTCACAGAAAATTTGGCCGTGACACGACTCACTGGTGGAGGTAATTCAATTCCACCTCCGCCACCTTGGGAATGTTTTCGTGTCTCATTCACATGAATAGGCAAATTAAGCTGTTAACTCACAGAGAAGTATCGTACAACTTGAACATCCTCGTTCTTGTTTCATCCCTCAACTGAGTCAGGGTTTGAGCTAAATATATGATGTATTATTATGAGACCTCTCTCAGAGCCATCCCTTGACTTTGCTTGACCTTGCAGCTGCAGCAGACCAGTGCACTCAGCATGAAAAGAACAAAACTCAACTAAGCTGCCACTCAGGCTTAGAGGGCTGGGAGGAAAGGGCAGAGCTGGCTTGGAGCCGTGCTGCAGGGCTGGGTGGGAAGGAGCCACTGTGGTGCTGCTTGGCAAGCGTGAGCCATGAATCAGAGCACCAGCAGAGCTGTGCGGCAGCGGCGGGCACCAGCCCCTCACCTCGAGACTGGGGCTTGTCTCAGAGGGAGTCAGTTTCTTGTGACATTGGCCCAGGAGGGAGTCACTGCCTGGGGCTGGGCAGGCAGCACCTAGCGGTGGCCCTGTCTGCAGGGCAGCTCTGGTACTTACGATCCCAGGGCCTCCATGAAAATGAATGTTTTTCGGATGTTGCTCGTCTGTTTCTTCCAGGAGCTGCTGTCATCCTCTTCCTTGCGACCCATCTCCTCCAGAGTGGAAGCAGGGAACGCTGTGAGGAAGAGGAGGAGAAGAGGTGACTGGTGTGGAGGGTGCTCGCATGAAGAAGCAAGCTGGATTCGGGATGCTGTGAGTGGTGTTTGCGTGGTCAGGGGAGTCAGACTTTTCAAGCATGAGAAATTCAGTGCTGCTTTTGCTACTCACAGCTGCTTGTGCTGACCGTGTTCATGCTGCTGTCCCACTCCAGCCATCAGTGCAGCCTAATACCAGCTCAGCTGGGTAGGAGCTGGTGACCATATGGTAACACTCTCTTGTCAGTACACTCATTTAGCACGTGTTGGCAATTACAAATGTTTATGTTATGCTTCATATTTAGTGGTTAAAAAAGCCCTGCTGAATGGTTGCAGATTTTAACTAAAGCATCTATGACTTAATGCATTAGAAGTTAGGTACAATTACCGATGGAGATGGATTATAGTTTAGCTGCTTTATTGCTCAAATAATAAATAGTTTAAAGAGCTCGTGACTGCAGGGAGGGGAATTGATACAAAACATTCTGTTGATGTGTCTTGTGCAGTTTGCGCTGCTGTCACCTTTTGTTTTTGTTAATTGACAGATTGCTTCTGCTTTGAGTCATAACCTTCCCCCGACCTTTTTGTTGCAGGGGAATGATGTGATACCAGGGTGCTGGGAGGCTGCTGAGAGGCAAAGAGGTGCCCAGCTTTGTGCCCTGTCTGCTCACGGGAGGCTTGACCTTGGTCAGGTCCCAGTCCCCCACTGCTAAGCTCTTTACAGCAGGGCAGCACAACCGTAATGCAGAAAGTAACAGTGTCTGTGGGCACAGAGCTCACTGGAGCAGTGGGGGACTTACTTAGGGCTTACACAAGGTCTGGGAGGTGTGAAATGTTATACAAGCATCTAAAAACTCTTAATAAGATCAGGTCTAACGTTACAGAACTGGAAGTGCGCTGGAAGGTGAGAAAGAAGCCCTGAGACTAGACAAGAAAGTATTAAAGTAGTGGCTTGTCCATACTACCAGGATATAAAAGAAATGCACTGAAAATACCCCCAGGCAGGGGGGGAATGCTGGGTGCTGACAGCAGCACCCTTGGCATGGGGAGCATCCCCTTGGAATGTGGAGCACCACACTTCTTGAGAGCAGCGACGGCTGCACCAAAGCCAGTGAGGCACAGCTGAGCCTTTGAAAGGCAAAGCACAAGCTTAGGTGGAAAAATAAGTGTTTCAGGAAAGGCAGAAGTATTAAAGCAGAGAAAAAGCTGAAAGATCTTGTTTCAAGACAGGCAGCTCAGATACTGAGTTCCTCCTGCACCTAGTTTGTCTCCTGAATTAGCATGGGGTCAGGGTTTCCAGCTCCTTGACCCAATTTTTTAAAGGTGAATTTAACATTATTGAAAACAAAATTGATTCAGTTGTAAACACCTGAAGGCTTCAGTCCATAAAATCACTAAAGGCCAGCCTGCACTTGACCTGTATTTACCTTCTAGATCCTGATGCATGTGTAACTCCTAGAAATGCAACTCCTTCTAAAACCCAGCCCTATCTTGCTGTGTAGAATCAGTGAAGATTAAAAGTTCTTCACAAAACACCTTTCTGCCAACACTTCGAGCCCCAAGATGAAGTTTTCTTTTGCAGCCATTTGCTCATCCCGAATTTCTACAGACCTGGACTGTCACATAAGGAGAATTTCCAGCAGAGGCATTCAGCTGCTGGTGGAAGGTGAGTTTTATCCACTTGAAATAATTATCAAATGCATGATGCCAGTGTGGTGTTGAGTGATGGATATAATTCAGGTGACCTCTCCATTTCCCAGCTGAGTGTCAAATGAAGAATATGAAGTATAAAATAAACCAAACCCAAGTAGGTCAGCCTGGCCCCAGGGACAAACAGAATTTCAGTCTCTGTTCCTGTGCAGCCCTTGCACTGAAGCACAGCCCAGTTGTCACAGGGGGCAGCCCAGTAGCAGCACAGTGCAGAGGAGTCCCTCCTGGGATTAAACATTCTCATGTTAAATTCGTTGTGAATTGAACAAGTTTCTCTTTAAAAGGGATCTTGCTTCTAAAGGAAGGTAGTACCGTGTTTTCTTCAGTCTCCTGTGAATCATCTGCTCATCTTATAGTTCCTCCTTCTGTCACTCTCTGTGTACGGCATTTGGTTCTGCTGGTATCTGGAGGAAAGGCT